GCAATAACCCAGAAGACAGCAGTCTTCGAGGATAGTTTTGTTCCTAACTCAAATCTTAGCAAGATAGGAAGGTGGAGTGGTCATCAGCGACTGAAATTTTTATCGTATCGAATTTAAAGAAAATCGGCCGAATGTGAATGTTTTAATTATGAACTTACCGGTTGCCCAAGAACATAACTGCGTCTCCTTTTACCTCGTATGAAGACTACGACCCGAGTGCCTGTAACAATATTGTACTTCTGTCTCAACAGATCCACTCGGACTCCGATATTCATCTCGACGCTACAGGGAGCTTCAAGCGCTTCGACCCAGTGGACCGTGACTTCCGGGTCGCCATTACCACGAGTAGTCTGATGAGCAGTTACGGTGGGTCTCCGCCCCCCACTGCTGCAATACCCCCACAACCTCTTCGACCAGCTCCTGCCCCCGCACCGCCAAGACCTGCCCCTCCGCCGCCTCCAATCCAGAACGCGCCAGAAGCTGCAGAGAGAGTTCTTGCCGACGTGGCAGCGTCTACGACGACCATCGCCCCAGCTGACGATCCCGAGTCGGGGGAGCAGTTGCCGCCGACGCTGCAGCGGGCTATGTCTTGCGATTCCGTGTGCTCCGACACGTCTGTAGTGTTGGGGGACCTCGAGGAACCCAACGTTACGGGTTATCTCTGCGTGGGACTAGAATACGACAGGTGAGGATAGCAGGATCCCTGGTCTCAGTACCTGTCACAAACCCACGGCAATCCCTGGATTTACGTTCCTAAAGAACACCGCGATTTGTAAAACCAAGGTCTTATGAGAAACTGGGGGTTAAGGGAACCACTGCCGCTATTAGCATTCATCACAGCTTAACTGATGTGCCTGTTCCGTTACTAAACACAGATGTACGCTCACCTAGTAACAGCAGACACAAAGACGAAACACCTTCGCATTATAAAAGTTGTAATTTGGAAGGCACAATCTGGTTTCGAACGCATTTACTCCCCTGTTCCTACTAAATCATCACTCGGTGTGGCAGCCACACACAAAAACCGCTGGTGCAGAAAGCCGCTGTCAAGTGCCACAGCACGCCTGCTTCGTGTTCGGGAGGTCCCGCGTTCAATTCGTTTGGCGTAATTAGACATAAATGGGAAATCACGGATATTTTAAATCCGTTATTGGCGAAACTGTGGTTGGTGAGGGATTTCTCTGTTATCTGCCACAGAGATAAAAATAGTAATTAATTAACAGAAAATATAATGTGGAATCAGAACCATAGTTTAGACATTGTCAGAGGAAAAATCCGACCTGGATCCATCCCTTAAGAAATAATTATGTCTATTTTAATAATATTCATAGACGATCTTTACACCAGATAAAATAATGATTAAGCCCTTACGACACAATCTCCCTTCACTTTAGACCGAACCATTCTGTATGCCTTTGCATTAGATCACCAGGCCCCAACCGTACCTAAGAGAAATTTTGGAATTTCTTTTGTTATTCTAGGATAAAAATTTTGTGAGGAAAGGGGCATACGAGGACTTTGAAAATACAATGATATGGGGTGGGTGAATTACGGCCCTTGCAATCAATATGTATTGCAAATTCCCGTCATTTAACTCATCATAGCCCTGTACTTTGAATAAATTGCATTAATCTGATAGCTGGGACCTTGCAGTAGTCACTGTGGTTCAACAAATCGGCCCCAAAGTGACGAGAGACCCACCGGAGTCCCATAAGGGACCCGAAATAGCATAATACGTAATGCGTGAGGGCCGATCCGCCAGTCTTGATACCGATCACAAGTGGCATCTTCAGCGGATTTCAGTTTGTACAGGTGCTCCTTTTACGCGTAAAGTATATTTTAGCAGATTGATTCTTGGTTTATTTAATGGCACCTTATCAAGTGAGTAGGTAATATAATTTCGGGAGATAGGATGATTTTTAATTGGAAAAATGCGGAAGAAATACGCCGTGATCTATTTTAAAGCATTGACCCAGCAATGAGCAAAATCACAAAAGATTCTAAGATATTCTGTTTTTTTACCGTAATTTTAACGTGCAACCTCGCTAATGCAAAGGAGTGCTAACCTCTAAGCCGTGTCAAAGTACCATGCGAGGGCCCTCGACCCTTGGTTAAAATTAATAAACAGTTTTGTAGGAAAGGGCGTGCACAAGAGCAAATGAAAATATCCATGCCGATAGATGTCTCATTATCGATAAAGATCGTTTCTCCGCGATTAGTCGCCAATTGAAACTCGAACTGTGGTGACTCTCAGCTCAGACCTGCGTGTTACAGCGACTCTGCCGACCTGGTGGTTAGCGTGTTGGAGGCCAAGGACCTGGTGGGACCTGACGGCAACACGTACATAGATACGTACGTCAGGGTGTACCTGTTGCCGGACAAGACGTCCAACATGCAAACTAGGGTGAGTATGCAACTTTTCGTGTCGTCTTGTTCAGTAAACTGCTTGCTTCGTGCAAGTCAAGGGCTCATTGCCATCGCTACTGGACCGGGTGCTGGGTCACTTCGTCTGCGTCCACCTGACACTCTTTTTTATCTAAGGTCCATTTTAATAATGCGAATAACATACCATTCCCGAAAAAAAATTTTGCATGGAATTTTCAAACCAGATTTGTATGTGCATTTCGCCCATCCAAGTTAATAATTCATAATTCCAACAAAATTAAGCAAGGATTGCATAGCCGATTTCCATGAAACATGGTATGAACATCACTGATGACTGTTCTATCACAAATTTTAATTTTATTTAGCCAACGATGCGAACATGGCGGCCATATATCTTAGCTGGAAGATGTCTCCATTTAATGTATCGTCCTGAAATTATGCCTTGTGATAAGACAGGGTATTAAGGAAAGTTTTTCAGTAACGAGAAGAATGTAAATAAATATCTAAAACTTTCGCCTCAACGAATAAACTTCTGTCCTGCAGAAGAAACGACCTGTTTTTTTGTGTTACAGCTAACAAGAAAGAACATTGACTTCGTACGGGTTGTTAAGTTTGAAGTAAAAGTTGTATGAACAGTTTAAAAAAGTCTTTGTTCCAGTATCACTGCTATTCTGTTGTGGAATTTGATTTGTATAAAAGGCAATAACTCTCCGT